AAAAAACAAGAGCAAAACATACGCCTATGGGACAGACGTTTTTGGACTATGGTGATACTTTATTATGTTGGATGGGACATCCGCAATGCATTCGTTGACGGCATAGAGTTATCAACGTTAAGTTTCGTGCATTCAGGAGTGGCAGTAATAACTATTTATTAACGAGAAAGACATATAAGGAAAGTAGATCTGAGCTGTGGCAACAATCATTACAGATACCATAGGATATAAACAAAATCAACGGCAGACTAGTTCTGGCGTTCTGTTGGATCACACGTGCCTAGCCCACTGGATGGTTGCCAACCATCTTTGGAACAGACTACTGTGGCTTGTCCGGTCACGGCATGCGAAGCCATACAGTAGAGCAAAGCTGTTGTTCCAATTTCAAAGTTCTCTTGTCTCCCTGCTTGGATGTAGGTGATCTGAAAGCGGATGCGAGTATAAACCGTTAGCAGTGCCAAGCGGACCATTAGAGCGTCTTACCAGTCCGTTAGTAGGCGGTGTCAATGGCATGCAGACTCCTGGTAGAGCTTCTTCTCTGCCATCACTGCATTTACCCAGTAACGGTCGAAATACTCCACGAGTACAGGTGGAGAATGATGGGCCAACCACCCATCGACCAAATGCGCACCTAAGTGCTGCCGTCGTTCCAGGAGCGAACCCTCTTGAAGTAGAAGTAGTGGAAAATGCGATCTGAAAGCAAATAGGGCTTCAACGAGACCGATATTGGGCTCCAAGTGCTCCTTTTTACCTCTCCCCATGGCGAAGCTATTGGCGCAGAGCAATACTCTCCAACTTCAGGTGCATTTTGTCTGACAATGACAGGTTCAACAGCAGAACGTTGTAGTGACCGCATCAAACAGGTGCCCAAACCTTAACAGTAGAAGTGTGGGAATAATTTAGATAAGCGATACTTCCGAACTAAGAGTGTTGAAAACATGATTTTGATTTTCTTTTCAAAAAATGATCCATAGGGAAGGAGTCTTATGCGTCAATCAATTCCGCTTTAGATGCGCTGCACATATGAAACTTATTCAGAATCGTAAGTTGAAAACGACTTCTGAAAGTTCTGACGAGACCTTTCGGAGGGTCATTTCTAACTGGGCCACAGATTCTACAGGACACGCTCACCGAGCGAACTCCGCCCTCGCACAAGATCCGCCCACCAGGAGGAAAGCCGAAGTTGGTAATTTACAGATAGACGCCCTCACGTGGCCATTTGCAGAAAACTAAGTCATTCTAAAAAACCGATCTTCTGAGCCTGAACTTTTAGCATTTCGCTTCTGGAGTTTCATGTGTATTTTTCGAGGTTTCATATTATTTTACCGAAAAGTTTAGTAACATACCTGGAGTCAAGACACCACTCACGCATGTGGCGCTAGATGAGCCTGATAAAGTATAGCCTGGCGAACAAACTAACGTTGCCAATGTCCCTTGGCTATACCGAGGCAGTCTTGGATCGGTGTATGTTATCTGGTAACAAGATGTTTTTGATGGGAACTCTTAATTCTTCATGTACTTTTATACGTCTTGGCTTCCCCATCGGCTAGTTTATGCAAAAAATTAACACTGATTACGGTAATTCTTTCTAAGAAGCTAATATCGTAGAAGTTTCCAAAGTATAAACGAAAATCAAAAAAACATTCCTCTTACAGTTCCGCCCAAGACAATCGGAAAAGCCGGACACTTCGACGACGTCAGAGAGTCTGGTAAAAGACATGGACCCAGCACAGACGGCAACCATTGACCAGTTCCTGTGCAGGCGCTAGTCGTGGGCCCTGTACAGTTGCTCAGGTGAACAGAGTGAATGGGAATTCTAGATGACAGCAGCTAAACAAGTTACGATACCAGATGGAGTGAATCCGATGATACACTTAAATGTAGCTGTTGATCCTAGCGGCCATGGTCCGAACGGTCGATCCACTCGATCCTGAAGGAACCACTTGATGCGGCTCCAGTGAAAAACGTCACACATGGACTTACGTTGATATAGCCTATCACTCGGGACCAGTGTGATTGCAATGACGCACTGACTTCCTCTGTTACCTGAATGTAGCGAAAAATTCGATACCAACCATTTGTAAGAGACAGAAAATTTTCGCATGTGCAATAAGTGGGAGAGAATGCTTATGACTTGATACTTTTTGCGAGTAGAGGGATCGCACTCGAGGAAGTGAAGATGGACGCAAAGTTCGCACCTGTTGTCGGAGAAGGAATAAGAGAGGGAGGTCCCGACAGTTAACGGCTTGATGAATTACGAAGAAATTTCTGTCTCGGCCAGCGGAAATTTTCGTATACCCGTCCCTGGTCGTGACTTTTCTACAAGACGAGCATTTGTTCAAGAACGAGAGTAGGTAGTGAAACGAAGTGGTGAAAGGGGGGGGG